ATGAGTTCCTAGTGGTTGCTGTTTGATATTAAACATGGCTAAGTAAAGAAAAAAAGGCCTTCCTCTTCCATATTGCTATCACTGGTTCTGTAGTATGAGAGAGAAAAGAGTCTTTGGTTCTCAGAGCCAGGTCTGAGCAGGAATTTTTTTAACTTTTAGCTCATAATTTTTGGGGGGGGGGGCTGCATTTCTCCTGCATTTCACCAAGGAGAAAATAGGTTAATAGGTTGTTAGCTTTCCACTGCCATTCTGGGCTACAGTGGAGTAACAGTTTCATCATCAAATAACACTTGTAGATTCAAAGTGGCAGTCAGTCCACAAGGTCCCACTGTTCAGGATGTCCCCATGTTTGGTAGCATATCAAGGATACCTTCACCTGAAAATAACAGGAAACCTGACTAACAGCTGTTGTTAACAACAGCTTAAATAATTAGAAATTTATTTTTCTCAGATAGCAAAAAGTCCCAGTGTCAGTAGTTGCTAATATTAGTTCATCTGTTCAGTGATGCTCTCAGGGACCCAGGTGCTTCCAGATTTTCTCTTCTGCTATTGTTAGCTTATTGACTTTTTGCCTTACTTGTTGCCTTAGTTAGAAGCTATAGAAGCCATTTTGAAACCCTTACATCCACATTCAGGGTAGAAAGAAGAGAAGATGGAGGTAGAGCTAACCTATTTTTTCCTTCTAGCAGAAAAAGCAAAAACCTCACCAGAAACTCCTTAGCAGATAGACTTCTGCTTGCCGGTGTTTTGCATACTGCTCCTATCAGCTCCAAGGAATGTCATTAGCCTCTGTGGAAGATGGAGGGGGTTGGGTGTGTCTGTGTCTGTTATATTAGCCAGATGAACTCCTGCTTTTTAGGTCTTTCTCTGAGTGGAGAACAGAATGGTCTGACATTAGTCATAGTGGTCTGACACTTATGCACACAATAAAGTGGGGAAAAAGTTGTGTTCCACTGGATGGGCTAGATAGGGTACCAACCCTCAAAGTTTGCTTTTGTCTTTGATTTTTTTTAAATGCTAATTACCTTTGTATCCTCTTGATTATCCAGCTTACTGCCACTTGTTTTCTTTCCTGTCCTTTTCTGATTAATAAACTAGATATTTCTGATGTGAAAAGTACATTTAATCTCTATGCTACCTTATTGATTTTCAACAGAAAATGCATTTGCTAAACATATTGATCTCCTTGTTAAATGTCTGTTACTTAAGCACAGTGAGAAATATACCCAGCTTTGTGCCACCTGAACAATGAGCTGGAGTAAAGAGAGCAGCCCATTCAACTGGAATACTAAGGGACATGTAATATTCTAGGCCCTGACTTTTCCTAATAAAACAAACACTGGGTACAAACAACTAGGTTACAATGTTTGCATTTGTTAGGTAGCATCCCTCTTGTAGTTGTGTCCCATACCCAAAAGGTATGCCGTATACCCTTAGATTGTGCCCAGTAAGTGGGAGCACACCACTCCCTCTCCCCACTCCCTCCCCCCATTGGAAGTTTCTATGTTCAGTAAACATAATCTAAGTACTTTGCATTATTTCACCTTTTTTTGGTAACTGAAAGAGCACTGGGCACAAGTATAAGATTGTGTTGTCCAGAATCGGAGCTAGCCACATGTGGTTATTTAAATTTAAGTCATAAACTACTGAGGGTGGGGGTCAGGATATGAAAACAAACTTGATATCTACTAAATAAGGAGAGATTGATTACAGTTGAAAAAATTAAAAAGTGAATCCTTCACTCACATAAGCTTCATTTTAAGCACTTATTTAGTTTTTTTGAGACAGACCCTCAAGCTGTCTCCCTGGGTAGAGTGCTGTGGCATCACAGCTCATAGCAACCTCCAACTCCTGGGCTTCAGCGATTCTCTTGCCTCAGCCTCCCAAGTAGCTGGGACTACAGGCACCCACCACAACACTCAGCTATTTTTTGGTTGTAGTTGTCGTTGTTTGGCAGGCCCAGGCTGGATTCGAACCCACCAGCTGTGGTGTATGTGGCTGGCACCTTAGTCTCTTGACTACAGGCGCCGAGCTCATTTTAAGCATTTAATAGGAACGTGTGGTTAGTGGCTATCACATGGGCCAGAACAGCTTAAGACAGTTCCTGTTATCACAGAGAGTTCTTTGAACACTGCTGGTCTGAGAGTTTTGCATCACTTTCCCAAGAATTCAATTTCAAGTAAGGTTTTTTTTTTTTATAAATTTTATTTTATATACAAAGAGTATGCATTCTTTCTTTCATTGAGTGGGTCCCTGGGTAGTCAAGGAAGATCACTTTCTCTAATCTAAGGAAACCAAAGTTCTTCATGTACTGACAGAAACACTGGCGGCACATAATAAGGCCATGTTTCTGGATCAGACTGCCAATTTGAACAAACACGACAAAGGCAAGAACTGTAGCTGAACTTTTTTTTTTTTTTTAGGGACTTTGTCGCCCTTTGTCGCCCTCAGTAGAGTGTGGTGGCATCATAGCTCACAGCAACCTCAAACTCTTGGGCTTAAGCGATTCTCTTACCCTACCAAGTAGCTGGGACTATAGGCACCCACCACAATGCCCAGCTATTTTTTGGTTGTAGTTGTCATTATTGTTTAGCAGGCCCAGGCTGGATTCAAACCTGCCAGCTCCAGTGTATGTAGCTGGCACTGAGCTATAGGCACCAAGCCCCTAGCTGAACTTTCACAGGTGGCTCAAGTAGAGCTACAGTGGACCCATATTGCTTTCAGGAGTGCAATGAGGCAAAAAGCCAAGTAAAGTTATAATACCAATTTGTTTTCTTCTCATTCAACACAAAGTAAATTAAAACAAATTCTAATAAATCAAGATCCCCATCTGTTGTAGTGTAGGATAAGTTTTGTGCACATTTCCTGAGTTTTCTTTTGAAAGATAGGCCAGGCACGGTGGCTAACACCTATCTTCTTAGTACTCTGGGGGGCCAAGGCAGGTGGATTGCTTAAGCTCAGGAGTTTGAGACCAGCTTAAGCAAGAGTGAGACCCTATCTCTACTACAAATAGAAAAACTTGGGCTCGGTGCCTGTGGCTCAAGTGACTGAGGCGCCAGCCACATACACCTAGGGTGGCGGGTTCGAATCCAGCCTGGGCCCGCCAAACAACAATGATGGCTGCAACCAAAAAATCGCCAGGCATTGTGGCGGGGGCACCTGTGGTCCCAGCTACTTGGGAGGCTGAGGCAAGAGACTCGCTTGAGCCCAGGAGTTGGAGGTTGCTGTGAGCTGTGATGCCATAGCACTCTACCCAGGGGGATAGCTTGAGACTCTGTCTCAAAAAAAAAAAAAAAATAGAAAAACTTAGCCAGACACTGTGACAGGCCCCTATAGTTCCAGCAACTGGGGAAGCTGGGGCAAACCCAGGAGATTGAGGTTGCTGTGAACTATGAAGCTACAGCACTCTACCCAGGGTGACAGAGTAAGATGCTGTCTCAAGAAAGAAAGCGCAAGAAAAATTTGGAGTGGGCTCTCTTTTTTGACAGACTCTGAGGCACTCACTAATGGCAAGCAGGGTCAGAGTCCTTACAGTGCTGGTCTCATTTACTTGGTCCCTGTTTCCACAGTAAAGAAAATTGTTCCTATATATCTTCCCCCTTTTTTAAGCCTTTTAGGAAAAATAAAACATAGAAGGGAAAGGTAAGTGAAACTGAAATTCTGTAAAATGTAAACACTTAATGAAAATGGAATTTCAAATAAACATCTTTTAAAAAGAAGAGAGAATCAAAGCCAGACATGGTGGCTCATGCTTATAATCCTAACTCTCTGGAAGGCCAAGGTGGATAGATCCCTTGAGCTCAGGAATTTGAGACCAGCCTGAGCAAGATTAAGACCTCATCTCCAAAAATAGCTAAGTATTGTGACAGGCAATGGGAGGCTGAGGCAGGAGGATCACTTGAGCCCAAGAGTTTGAGGTCACTGTGAGCTATGATGCCACAGCACTCTAGTGATTGAGGATGACAAAGTGAAACTCTCTCAAAAAAAGAAGATGATAGAATCGTTAAAGATGTTAGGGCAGCATGTCAGCGTTCCTTCTCTACCCCTCACTGTCTCCACTACTCTTCCAGCCCCTCTCTACCTCTTAGGTTTGCCTTGTCTTCATTTAGAAGAAGTAGTAAGGTTTTTCCTTTGGGGGAGCATCTTCTACTTGTGTGAATGTCTTGGATATTTTACTTGGGAAAGTAAGCCTAATTTTGCCCTTGGTTTCTTCTTTGTTGAGTATTCAAAGACAAAAAATGGTAGAGAAGTTTTCCAAGTGCTTAATCACAGTGATGCCTCTCAACTTCATGAGAACCTTTTTCATTCCAGATCTTCAGGGAATACAGAAAAGCAGCTTTGGATTGATTGGTTGGCTGATATTGTTTGTGTCTGTTTTGATTGGGGAAAGGCAGTGAAAGATTAGGTACACTGGGTCAAAGCAATAATGTGCCAAAAGCTAATTTGTAAGAAAATGAGAGGTTATAGATCATCAAAGTTTTGTTCATGGAAAACTAGCTGACATTTTTATTCCTTTTTTCCTCATTAAAGAAATCTGCACTTGCACTCTTCAGGCCTGTATGGAGTTGATACTGCACCTGGATGGCACGGTGCCCCACGCGCCTAGGTCTGCTGCTGCAGCTTTGCTGAGAAGCCCACACCTCTCCAGCCTGTGCTGCAGCTGCTCTGTGACTTTATCTTGAATCTGTGTGATCAAATGGTAGATGAGGGTTTTGCTGCTCAGGTTTCTATTAGAAACTAAAGGACCAGGATTATATACTCACTTAGGAGCCTTTTTACAACCATCCTCTCCTTGGTTGTCCCTTTTCTGTAGCTCTTAGCAAGCAAATTAAGGAATCTAAGGTGCTCTCTAAAGACACTGTAGGGATTTCAAATTTTGGCTACATCAGAGGTCAGGAACTTCCTCTCTCGGTTGCTTGTTTGTTTAGTTTTTATAGTTATGTTTTTATAACTTCATAAAAGTTTTTATTTTAAAATAAAAATCATTCCCCTCCCCCCAGATTCAGAATATTAAACAGACGAACAGTGCTCTCAAAGAAAAACTTGATGGTGGAATAGAACCGTATCGACTTCCAGAGGTAGGATTATGTTAACATCATCTCAGAAGTCAAACCCAAGTGATAACTTCATTTAAGAATTTTGTATCTGGGCTTGGCGCTGGTGGCTCAAGTGGCTAAGGCACCAGCCACATACACCTAAGGTGGTGGGTTCGAACCCAGCCCAGGCCTGCCAAACAACAATGATGGCTGCAACCAAAAAATAGCCAGGCATTGTGGCGGGTACCTGTAGTCCCAGCTCCTTGGGAGGCTGAGGCAGGGGACTCACTTGAGCCCAGGAGTTGGAGGTTGCTGTGAGCTGTGATGTCACGGCCCTCTACCTAGGAGGACAGCTTG